GACTGAAAGATACTGAAATCATCATTAAACTATCATTCCACTAACTAGTTCTTTCTTCCACATATTAGTAGAACCACACATTTTCTATAGTAAGTGAAGTTTCAGAGGTTCAAAAAAGCATAATTGGAGCCCTGACTGGTGTGGCTCAGTCTGGTGGCCATCATCCCGCAAGGCAAAAGGTGACTGGTTCCATTCCTGGTAAGGGTACATGCCTGGGTTGCAGATTTGGTCCCTGGTCAGGGCCCGTGACAGAGGCAATCAATTGATGCTTCTCTCTCACATCTCACATCAATGTTTCTCTCCCTCCTTTCCTGTCTCTTAAAAAAAAAAAGAAAAAAAAAGTATAATTGGACAAGAAAACTCTGTGATTAAGTCCTCTTTTAATTGAAAATTCTTAATTTGTTTGCATATGTGAATATGTACTATCTTTAAAGCTACCACTAATGTTAGATTTTTCATAATTTCAGATTTTTTATTTTATCTCTTTTAATGTATATTAGGAGAATTTACAAAGGTATTTGTTTTTTGAATGCTTAAGAATGAAAAATTATCCTGGTTGGTATGGCTCAGTAGATTGGGCGCCGGCCTGTTGACCAAAGGGTCACCGGTTCAATTCCCAGTCAGGAAACATTCCTGGGTTGCAAGCCAGGTCCCCAGTAGGGGGCATGTGAGAGGCAACCACACATTGATGTTTCTCTTCCTCTCTTTCTCCCCCGCTTCCCCTCTCCAAAAATAAATAAATAAAATCTTTTTAAAAAATGAAAAATTAATGTAATAAATTTAACTGACTGTTTTATTCTCCCATACCAATTGTGGGCAGAACAGTTACTTAAAGCATGTGAAAACAGACTTCCTGAGCCAGAGATACACTCTATTTCAAATATTTCTTCCAAATGTCGCAATTTCAAAATACCACATTGCAAATCTATAATGTCTACCTCTGCTGTTAAGAAATCTGTTGCCATGTTATCTGTTTGGGGCAAGATGGAAGGATGAAGGAGTCTTCCAAACTTCTAAACAAGAGTGAAAAATAGATAAAATGCTAGCCTCAGTACTTTGTTTCAGCTCCAGCCAACATGAAAATGGTCTGAAAAGGATCATATAGATCCAAGCAGCTTTCACATAAATCTGGATCAATGTCCAGGCTTTAAGAGTTGCCTAGGCCATAAAGACAGACTTCTTAGGCATGGTTTATCCACATCAAAGCTGGCATGCAATGATTTCATGACAGAATTGCTTAACGGCATTTCTGCTAACAGAAGAAATGAAGGCTCTGGTGGGAAGCAGACTTATATCCCCTTCCTTCTAACCTCCCCATCTGACCTTCTTCTGCAGCTAAAACACCCCCCTTTTTTCTCTCCATGTGCACATTCAGGTAGAGAGTGAGCCGTGGTGGTGCCTCCTACCCTTATTCCCATAATTTCAAGCCCACCCACCCACACCCATCCAAATAAAAATAATTTAAGGAAAATTTGCATAAATCATAGCTATTTTATTGCTCTGTAGCCACAGTCTAAGCAAAAACCTTGTGGTTACTGAAGCCTAGCTTCAAATCAAAATGTTCCCTTCTGTCACATGGCTGCTGGAGAAATTAAGAATGAAGGGTTCTGGAATGAAGGGGTGAGTGGATGAGGAAGTCATGAAAGAAGGAGAATTAGGTAAGGTTTCCTTGCCAGCTTCCCTCAAGCCGTATTTCAGGTGACAAGGAGGAAGGCAATTACTTCAAGCTCCTAAATCCACACCCACGCATACAACTCATGTCTCAAAGCTGATATTGAAGAGGTTCAAGGAACTTCAATGATCTTTTTGGAGGTAGTGGTCTTAGGTGATTGCTTCATCCATTCATTGAAAAACAGACTTGTTGGTCTTGGAGCTTTTAAGCATAGAAAGGCTTTTGTTTATCAGGAGACATTTCAGTATTAGCAAGAGAAGTTAGAGGATTTTAGACACCACGCCCACTTGGTGGTTCTTATTAAGCCCTGATTCTTTTAAATATGATAAAATAATAATGGTTACAATAAGCTTCGTTGTAACCATTTTAATGTTTTTTAACGCAATCTTTTGTTGTAAATTGAAGCTCAGTGCCCACATCAGCACTAATTTCCTGCTGAAAGAATTCTGAACAAAACTCCTCTTTCACTTTTTAACACAGCACTCTGTGCTCCAGTTATCCCCCACTGTTCAGGGATATTAGTGCCGCATGAATGTGTTGTCTCATGATTGCCAGAGGGCTCTGAAGCACAGCTTGCGCAGATGATGAAGTATCAGTGTAATGAATTCATTTATCTTAGAGCATCTCTTCTTATTTGAAGGCCATGTGGGTTCTTCAGTGTTTGCTTGAGTAATAGATGGTTTTTATTTTTTTATTGCTTGCAAGAAGAGACAAGTGTACAGTGTTAAATAAAAACCTCCATGGCTGAAAGCTTTTCTGAGAGAAAGAGATTATTGAGCTAAATGTTAGCCAGAAAAGAACCAGGTGCTGGGACATGCAGTTGGAACCACCAACAGCACAGGGCTAGAGGGGAGAGACAAATTTGTTTGCTGTTCTGGAGTTGATGGTCTCTTTTATACCTGCAATTTGGGGAAGAAAGAGGTAAGTTGTTTTGAAAGAATTTACACTGGTTATGTTTAGTTTTAGCCGCAAAGTTTGTAGTAACTTGTTATAGCAGCAATGGGAAAATAATACAAGTGGGAGAAAAGTAATAAACAACCACACTTTGGTGAGCTGGGTGCCTGCCTAGCTGGGAGAATTTTGACAGAAAGATTTGCTTGGAACTAATATTAGCAAGGACAAGGGGAGAGGGATAGAAATAGAAAGGGTCAAAGAACACAGAAATTGATAGATTCCCAAGATTTGAAGAGAGTGAGTGTATTATTCTGCTAGGGCTGTCTGAACAAGATACCACAGACTAGGTAGGTTAAAAAAAACACAAGATATTTTCTTGCAGTTCTGGAGGCCAGAAGTCCAAGATCTAGGTGTCAGCTGGATTGTATTTTTCTGAGGCCTTTCTCCTTGGTTTGCAGGAGTCTTCCTTCCCACCGTGTCCTCACATGATCTTTCTCCTCTGTGTATGCTCTGCCAGGTGTCTATGTGTGTCCAAAGTTCCTCTGACGAGGAGACCAGTCAAGAGTGGATTAGGGCCTATTCTAAGGGCCTCACTTTTAACTCATTCACCTCGTTAAAGGCTCTATCTCCAAAGAGTCACAGAAGAGTTAAGGCTTCAACATGAGGATTTTTTAGGGGACACAATTCAGCCCATAACAATGGTGTTGACAAATGGAGGAACAGTCTATAAAATAACTGGTTAGTGCCCAGATTGGAGAATAAGGCAATGCACAACAATCCAATGCAATGAAAAGTGATTTCAGTTTGGATGCCTGGTTGGAAAAAGGACTTTAGTGGAACAATTGGCAATAATTTGAGTAAGGTATGCAGGTTGCCTAATAGTATTACATTGGTTCTTATTTCTTTGTTCGTAACTGTACAATGGTTGTGTAAGATGTCAGTATTTGGGGAGGCTTGGAGAGCATATGGGAATTCTGTAGTGCGAGGGTTCAGAAAGTGACCCCAAGATGCGCGTCTGTGGTAACAGGGATTGTTTTGGGTTAAAGAAAACTTTTGCTTTTCCCTTGACTATCTAGAAGAACATGAATTAGGGGACTTGCCCATAATAAAAGATGATCAGAAATAACCTTTTTTGACTTACCTACATGGCAGGGTAAATCACTAATTAACAAACATGTGGTCTCTCTGCAATGACTTTCTGAAGCCACAAGGTGTATTACCTCTTCCCTAGCTCAGGATGTCTTATATACCTCAATATCCCTTTCCATATCTGAACCCCTCTTACATATGGGGGTCTCTGACTCTCTCATGTATGTGCAGTTCCCGTACATATGTATGTGTTAAATTCGGTTATTTTCTCTTGCCAATCTCTCCTGCCTATCTGGCTATCAGGCCAGCCAAAAGATCCTTGAGTGTAGTGGAACGGGTAGTCTCCAACCCCCTTGCAGTCATTCTGTAAGATGTCCGTATTTGAGGACTCTTGTATGAAGGTTATATGGGAACTCCGTACTGTTTTTGCAATTTTTTTTCTTGTCTGGAATTATTTATTTTTAAAATGAAACGTTAAAAATAAACAAAAATAAGTAAAATAAGGTAAACAAAGGGGAGAGACAGAATGAGAATGGGATAGGAGGTTACAGTGAAGGAAGAAAAAAGGGGGACGGGGGAGAGACGCAAGGAGAAAACTGAGTTCCATGAGGTTAGAGATCATATTCGTTGTCTGGGTCTCCAATGACGCCCTGCTTCTGGGACAGTGCTTGGAAGCTCAAGATATATCTTGAGAGGCAATATTCAAGGAGTCATATTCATGAAAGGCCTCAAATTTTAAAATGTTCAATTTGTCTCCAAAGTTAGTGCATTGTGTGTGTTGAGAGTGTGAATTCTTCTTACGTAAACGTTTAAAACACACTGCCATCTTGGTAACTGGGTTTCGGTATCCACTCTTCCCGCTGCTGCCCTACCCCCAGCCCTGCTCCCACCTCCAAACCATTTTGGGGGGCGATACAATTCACATACTATAAAATTCACCATTTTAAAGTGTATTTAATGCTTTTCTGTGCAACCATTACCCCTATCTAATTATAGAGCATTTTCATCACCCCCCAAGGGAACCCCACACCCAATTAGCGGTCACCTAGCACCTCCCCCAACCCCCACCCCCCAGCCCCTGACAATCACTATTCTACTTTCTGTCTCCATAGCCTTTTCTATCATGGCCATTTCTTATAAATTAATCAAGAATTCTGGACTAGCCTCATTTCAAATGCTCAGCCAGGCACATTGACTAGTGGCCACGGGATTGGCCGGCACGGATTGGCTGTGCGTGGGCCGCCCAATCGCTCTTGTGCGTCTGGAGGAGGCAGGTGCAGGTGCGGAAAGAGGCGTCGGGGAGTGTGGGGCGGCGGCGGTCGCAGGCGGGCGCACACCCCGGGGCATGGCGGGCTGGTGGCGGGCGCTGCCGCGCGCAGCCGGGCGCTACCCGTGGTTCTCGAGCGTGCTGCTTTATGGAGCTTTCTCCTCGGCAGGCGATGCGCTGCAGCAGCGGCTGAGGGGTGTCCCGACCGACTGGCGGCAGACGCGGTGTGTGGCTACGGTGGCCATGGTCTTCCACGCCAACTACAACTACGTGTGGCAGCGCCTGCTGGAGCGCGCGCTGCCGGGCCGCACGCCGCTCGCCATCCTGACCAAGGTCCTGTGCGACCAGGCAGTGGGAGGGCCGGTGGCCATCACGGCCTTCTACACCGGTGAGGTGCCTGGGCGGGGTTCAGGACTGGGGAAATTGAGGCAGGGTCTGGGACGGGGGATGTAAGCCTTGGTTGGAGGGGGAGGGTCGGTGTTCAGAGTCCGGGAGGGGTTTGGAGGTGAAGGTGCAAGGGCCGGGAAGCCCGGGGACCCGGGATTAAGAGGGTTGAGAAAAACTGGAAGATGGATGGGGAAGCCATTGGTTAAGGGACCAACGTCCAGTGGGTCAGGGATCAAGGGGGCCAGGAGCACAGTTGGGATTCTAGGGCTGTGCCTAAGTCAACGCAGGAGACTACAGGGGGGCAGGAGACTACAGGGGGCGAGCATCTTAGGTTGGGATGGGGGAGGGGGATCTGGGGTCCATTTCCCCCTGAAAAAGGTCCACAAGAGGGTCGAGGAGACCCCAGCTCACTGTCATAGCAGCTGCAGCGTTGGTGACCTAGTTGTGGGTTAGCAGTCCTGCTCTTGGAAAAATTCGTAGGGCCTCCTTATCACTGGACAAAACATGAGGGGCCTGGTACCATGGGGCCATTGTGGGTGGAATCTGAAATCCAGCCAGGTTCCCCAGAAAATTCAGCTCAGGATCCTCTCCCGGTTTTGTGAAGATTTTTCTGCTGGGCAGTGGGCCCATCTCCATATCAAAAGCCACAGAAGTGTGAGAGGACCCCTGCCACGGAGACCTTTATCTCTATGAGTATCCTGGGAGCTGCCTTATTGGAAAACTCATGGTCTGAGGGTCTGACTTGGGGAATCTTGCTTAGGGCCCTAAATACCAAAAACAATGGAAAGGGCGCTGTGGCTTCCCTCGTCTTTAATTTCCATAGCCTGGAAGGGAGTGAGACCAATACCCTGAGAAGATCCAAGAGTCCTGGGCCTGGCCTTGGCATTGGGGATCAGGTCAACACAAGAGGGTCTTCTTTGTCAGTGACTACAGATGCCTTCTAAACTGGGTTTAGATGGTCAGGTCACCTCCTTGAAGAAACCTGTATAACCCATAGGTCCTATTGGGAGGGTGGGGGGCAGACTCTGTTCCTTTCTTCACAAACCCCGCAGAAAGCTGGAAGACAGGACTGCTCGGTGTAGTCTCAGCCAACAACATGGCCCATGGGGTCATTGATGTCAGGGGAATGGAGAACCTGAGAGCAGGGATCCCCTGGTTTATCAGATATGTGTCTGTTTCCAGGGTGTGACTTCCTGGCCAGATTTGCAAATTGGTCCTTTTGGCCTGTTGCCAGCAGCCCTGTACACTGGTGAAGGGGTTTGGGAGCTGGGGGCTGAGAGTTGGGGAATCAGATTCCCATTTAATCCTCAAACAATCCAGTGAGGCAGGTGCTCTTATTATTCCCATGTTACAGATGAGGAAATGGAGGCTCAAAGACTTTTACAGGCCTTGACCCAAATCAACACAATTCATGCCGTATTCTCAGTCTCAATGAGTGTTGTCAGTATTCCTGAAACCAAAAGACGCTTCCGTAATAGGGCTTGGGGGGCGGCCTATGATTCAGGCCAGAAGCTCCTGAAATAGAGTTCTGCCTACTTGCTTCTTTGTTTTGCTTTTCCAATTTCTGGCCCACTTTCCCTCTCCTCCTGTTAAAATGAAGGGAGAACGTAGGACCTGGTGGAAGCACTTCCGACTTGGAAACTGCCTGTATCTAATGATCGTTTGTGCCTTGAGAAGCTTGATTGAGTAGTAATTAAGAGGTCAGGCTTAGAATCCACACCTGGGTTGGACTTGGACCACCGTTAACCTCCCTGAGCTCTTTTCCTTCTCTGCAACTCTGCCATCCTCAAGTTGATGGTTAGAAGGGTCAGAAGTTATGAGGGTCAAATGAAATAATGAACATAAAGTGCTTAGTACTTAATTAGTGCTGGGTAAGTGGAACAAAGTGTTATCAATATTCTGGCTGTGTTTTCTGAGAGTTCCGTTGTAAGAATCCCCTGCAAAGATAAAACAATTTTATTTCCCCTTCCTCCTAATAGGAGTTGGAGGAGATTTTTTCTTTAATCCTCACTCAAGAATATGTTTATTAATTTGAGAGAGAAAGGAGAGAGAAACGTAAATGTGAGAGGGAAATATTGATTGGTTGCCTCCAGTATGTGTCCCAACTGGGGATCAAACCCAAAACCTATGTATGTGCCCTGACTGGGAATTGAACCCTCAACGTTTTGATGTATGGAATGATGCTCCAACCAGCTGAGCCACCCAGCCAGGGCAGGGAGAGAATTTTTAAAGCACTCATAGTTGCACCCTTCCTAAAAAAGGAGGGTTTTGTCCTTGCTCCCTGAATTTCTTTTCAGGGTTGTTGAACATTAGTTTTCAACCTTTTTTTAGGAACGCTGAATTGGTGTTCTGCATTCCAATTCTGATTAAAAAGCCTCTTTCTGATGAGGAAGGGATAGAGAACCTGTTTGAAAAAGTAATGATGGAAAACTTCCCTAATTGGAGGAGAGAAAAAGTCGCACAAGTCCAGGAAGCACAGTGGGTCCCATTCAAGAGGAACCCAATGAGGCCCACTCCAAGACACATCATCATTAAAATGGCAAATATCAAAGACAAACAGAGAATACTAAACCAAGTAAGGGAGAAAGAGGCAGTAGCATATAAGGGAGCCCCAATACAGCTAGCAGCTGACTTCTCAACAGAAACCCTACAAGCCAGAATGGATTGGCAAGAAATATTCCAAGTAATGAAAAGTAAAAGTTTGCAACCAAGACTGCTCCACCCAGCAAGGCTCTCAATTAAAGTGGAAGGTGAAATAAGGAGTTTCCCAGACAAAAGAAGGCTAAAAGACTACACCCCCACCAAACCAGCACTGCAAAATATGCTAAAGGGACTGCTTTAAGATGCAGAAAAAGTTTCTATGAATACCCAGTGCCTTTCAGAGTTGCCAGTACTTGATATTACCAATAGTTTTAATACTCATTAATCTGATTGTGACAATGATGTTATTTTAATTGTTCCATTACTATTTGTTGAAACTAAACCTGTTTTAGTATATTTCTTGCCTATTTCTATTATTTAAAAAAAAAGCTTTAAATAACTTTTTGGTATTCTTTATCCATTTATTGATTAAAGGTTTATAGAACTTTTTTCCCTAAAAAAAAGCCCCTATTAACCATGTTTTAGATGTGTTGCATATAATTTTCTATTCTATTCCTTGTCCTTTAACTTTTTTATATGTATATTACTATATAGTTAAATGTTTAATGTGGTCATAATGTCAATATTTACTTTATAACTTCTGGGTTTGAATATTTTACTTCAGGTCATGAAAAATATTAGTTCTATTTTCTTCTAAAATTCCTTAGATTCTACATATTGATATTTAACTCACTTGAGTATTTCTTGTATAATGTGTGAAATAGGGCTCTATATTTGTTTTATTTCAAGTAATAGTGGTCCATGAACCTTATTTGTTAAATAAGCCTTATTTTACCCATGGATTTGAAATATCAACTTAATCATATATTATCTTGTTAGATATATATGTTTGTCTCTAGAATGCTCATTATATTTCATTGATCTCGATTATTTCTGTGCTGGTGTCATGTTGGTTTAATTGCTGAGACTTTATAATGATTTTACATTTTTTAAATATTTTATAATTGACTTTGACATTTAAAAAAATAAATAAAATCAATCTGCATTTAAGAAAGAGAGAGATGGAACTCCTACCTTTTACAACAACATGGATGGAAGTGGAGAATATTAAGCTAAGTGAAATAAGCCAGTTGATAAAAGACAAATACCATATGATCTCACCTATAAGTGGACTCTATTCAACAAAATAAACTAATGAACAAAATAAACCACAGGCACGGAAACATGGAACAGACTGCAAGTGACCAGAGGGGAGGGGGAAAGAGGACAATGGTGGAAAGAAGGAGAAGGGACTAGACAAAGAACATGTATGAATGACCCATGGACATGGACAACAGAGTGGGAACTGACTATGGGAGCGGGGGGGAGATGGGTGGAGGGGATTAAAGGGGGGAAAATTGAGACAACTGTAATAGAATACACATGATTTATAAATAAAAAATAAAAAAATAATTGTTTAAAAAGCCTCTTTCTTTTGTGGGAAACTTGTAGTTGTCAGAATACCCAGGGTCTGTCAGTGTTTGTTTGTTTTTTTAGAAAAAGGTAATTGAGTTTTTAAAATTTTAAGCATTTCACAGAAAAGTTTGAAAAGGAGAGAAGAAAAGTTACTAATCGCCTCACTATCCTAACACTGCTGTTTTTATTAATTTTCGTAGTTTTTTTTTTAATGACCCCTATAACTTTTTTATCTTTAATTCTCAACCAAGGACTTTTTTTCATTACTTTTAGAGAGAGAGAGAGAGAGAGAGAGAAACATTGATTTGAGAGATGCACCAGTTAGTTACCTCCAGTATGCTCCCAGATTGGGGATTGAACTTGCAGCCTAGGTATGTGCCCTGATCAGGAATTTAACCCACAATCTTTTGGTTATAGGATGACTCTCCAATCAACTGAGCCACACTGGCCAGGGTATCCCCTATAACTTATACACTACTATTCTCACTTAATGTTTATCATTCCTTTCAAAATGTATCTAGTTTTAGCCCTGGCTGGGTGGTTCAGCTGGTTGGAGCATCATCCCATAACCAAAAGGTTGCAGGTTGGATTCCTGGTCAGGGCATATGTTTCTAGTTTGATCCCTAGAAGGACGATCGGTTTACAGGAGGCAACCAATTGATGTCTCTCTCACATCAATGTTTCTCTCTCCCCCTTCCTATTTCTAAAAGCAATAAAACATACCCTCGGGTGAGGATAAAAAGAATGGTTTTAGAATGGATGTTATCTGTTTTCTGTGTTGAGTCAGAAGAGACATATATTGAGGTATAGTGGTGGTTAATTTACATATTGAAATAGGAAGCTTGAACTGTTACACAGTATTCTTCCTACTGAATCTTTTAAAATTCTTTTGTTGTGTGTTTTTGCAAATAGGTATGAGTATCCTCCAGGGAAAGGATGACATATTTTTGGACCTGAGACAGAAATTCTGGAATACATATAAGGTAAGATAGACTTTTGAAAGTTCAACCAAGATGTTTTTGTACATTTTACACATTATATACATTTTAATAAAAATATTTTTAAACTAGGGCTACTGTTGGTTGATGCAAGGATATAATATTTTGACAGAGAAATCTTACATTTTGATAGATGACTAAAAAGAAACTTTAAGAGTGTCTATACATTAGTCTCTCTGAATTGTAGTCAGTGTTTACAATGATTTCTGATGTTCTCATATTTACTGTTATTAGTGATTATAATTTAGTGAGTTTCAGAACCAAAGAGGTTATTGCAAAGAGGGTAGAATGCAAATGGAATCATTCCCAGATTACAGAGTCAAGGTTTCCAGGTTGCATTATGCTAAGTCCCTGTAAAAGGATTCTTCTTAACATTATAAAGGTGTTTACAGAGAAAGATGGTATTTCCTAGGGCTATGTCTAGGCATGAAGCAAGTCACCAGTTGTACTGTTTGCTCATTGCGAATATATTGTATTCCAGTCTGACAAATATTTATTAATTAAGTCAATGAAGAGTTGTTGAGCAAGGTTCTTAAGACTGAACAAAACCAGGGATGCTTTCCACCTCTGGTCTAGAACATGTTTAATCCTGTTAATTACAACGAGGTCGGTTTTCAGGATTAAGGAATATATACAGACTGGCCTAGGACTTCATACCTACTTAATTCCCTATAGAGAGCAGTGCCAAGCCACGCCTAGCAATTGCCTGTGCTGCTTCTAGCATCTTCTAGTGAATGATACCAAGCCCCAGAACCAGAATCATCCATTTGATGGCTGGAAGGCAGATGACAAGGAAGATCGAAGCCATGTGCTTTCCCTGAGCTCATATGCTCAAAGAGTATGCAGAACTCTCAGGACCATACTGACATGCAAATGTGGTTTTGTTCTGCTTTATTTCGGAAAAAGGAACAAGTTTTCCCATGATGTCATAGATCCTATGGCGATATGTACATCAAACATTTATAAAAAGAGCAAGCAAGCAGAATTGAGAAAGAAAGGGACTTCAGGCAGGGATTTGCAGATGTTTCAGACTCTCCTCCCTTGATAAAGATACGCAGGTAACCTTTCTTATGTGTTGAACGTCATTCCAAAGATTCTGAACTCTGGTAATAGTAGTGGCAAGAGACACCAAGTAAGGGAGCTGTTGTAACCAAGTTCACATAAGAAATAAGGTAGGAGTGAGAATAGGAATAATATGAGAAATATTTAGGTGGTAAAATTGGAAGGTCTTAATAATTGGAAATTGGGATTATGGGCAACAACACATCTGGGATGACCCACGGGTTTCTGACTTAAGTAACTTGAGATAGGACGCAGAGGACAGTGAGCCAGTTTGAGAAACAAGATAGCTGACTTCAGTATGGGAAATGTTGAACTCCAGATGCTTTTAGGGTACTCAAAGGGAGATTTCCAGATGCACAGAGGAGAGCTCAGAGGTAGAGGTATTACCTATGGAAGAAATTGGGTTAAAACTAGGCTTTTGACTGAAGTTTGATCAGTGAAACTGAGAGTACAGAAGAAAAGAAGTATCCAAAGGGAATCTGTCACAAGACTCTCATAGCTTAAAGGGTATGTGAGAGTAGATGGAACTGGTTCTTTGTTACTGAGGAATTATCTCCCTCTCCAATCCAAAGTCTTCTGGTGAAGGTGGGAAGGACATCCCTACTTTATTTGTTGTTTACATGTAAATAGTTATTGAACTTTGTTTTTTGTGTTTTTTTAAATTTTTCACAAATAGAATACAGTTTCTCCTTTTACCAGCTGCAACATGGCAGCTCAGATATATTATCTCTTAAGACACATATCTGATATTACATTATTTTCTTTGATACAGTTTTTAAAAGCTTTAGTATGGAATGATTTCAGAATTACAGAAAAGTAACAAGAACAGTTGAAAGAATACCCATACGGTGGCCTGAATGGTGAGCCAGGTCACATCTGCACATGGGGATCTCAGTCTCCCTGAAGAGGGAGGTGCTCGGTTCCAGACACCAGGGTCTCTGGTCCTCCTTTAACAACTTATCCCAGAGGTTCTACTCATGGCACTAACAGAAATGTGGAGCCTACAGTGCCCCTTGCCCAGATCTGGACCCATTGGGTCTTGGTTGACCTTTTCCTGGCTTCTCTGTGGAATCTGGTGTGAGTCTTTGACAGCATCCACTATGTGCCAACACCAACACCATGCCAGAGATGAGGGTTTGGAAATGAACTTGAATTCCTGCCGGGCAGAAGTTCACCATCTGGAGGAAGAGGCTTGCCTGTAAAAAGAGAACTTGTCCCTCAGATATTTGATGGGAAGATGTTCTCACATAACCACAGCATAGTTATCAATTTTAATAAATTTAACAATGATACTCCTTTTATATCATTTACCATCCACATTCCATTTTTGTCAATCAACCATTTAATGGCCCTTGTAGTATTTCTTTCTCTTCCAGTACAGGATCTAGTCTAGGATCAGGTAGTGCATTTAGTTCTTATGTCTCTTTAGTATTCATGAATTGGGACAATTTTCTTAGCCCTTTTAAAATCTGCAACAGTGATATTTTTGAAGAATATAGTCCTCCTTTCTTTAAACAAACAAAGCACGTGCTTTTTGGGGGGGTTTGTCTGTCATTTCTTCCTGACAGACAGAGGTGATAGTGTGCATTCCTGGCTGGAACATGCCATCTGTGGTGATGTGTCCTCTTCAAGGACAGCACAGCAAAAGGTGCTGACATCCTTCTGTCCCCGACTGGAGATGTTAATTTTGACTGCCTGGTGAAGGTGTCTGATTTTTCTACGGCCTACTTACTATTTTTCTTCTTGAAACTAATAAGCAATCTGTAGGGAAGCACTTGAAGACCGTACAAATACATACCCTCTGCCTCATCAGAATATCCACTCTACTCCCATATTTGGCATCCACCAGCAATTCTGCCTGAACTAGTTTTTGCTATTGTGATGGTTGCCAAATGAAGAGTTTCCAACTCCAGCACTAGTCACACATTAACTGGGTGGTGCTCAGCAATCTCCTGTGAACAAATGCCCACTCTTCTATCTCAGTTATTTATTTACTTACTTTCTCTTTATTATCAATATGGACTCAGGAATTCTCATTTTTATAATGGCTTACAGTTCATTACTGTAATTATTTTTGGTGCCTAAGTGTTCCAGGTTTGGCCAATGAGAATCCCTTTAAGCTGGCTCCTATGTTCTTGTGATATCCCCCATTTGAAAAAAAAAATCACTTCCTTACTTTCACAACTACGTGTCCCGGCTCATCTTACATCTTTACCTGCCTTTTCCCAGCCCTGCAGGCAGCCATTTCTCTGAGGAGTCCTTTTGCCTATTAGCGGGGAATGGGTGGGGAGACCGAGCTCTATGCACTAGGTGATGTTATGTTCTGAAACAGCTGCTGTAAGAAGTAAAACCATGTTTGGATGAGTTTACTCTTCTGATCCTTTTTGCTAAAGTAGTAAATTCTTAAATGAATATATATTTTAAATAGCTTAAATTTTTTTTAAAAAAACTACTGATTTTAGAGAGAGAAAGAGAAATATCAGCTTGTTGTTCCACTTATATATGGATTCTTTGGTTGATTGTTGTATGTGCTGTGACCAGGGATCAAACCTGCATCTGTGGTGTATTGCGATGACGCTCTAACCAACCAAGGCTACCTGGTCAGGGCCTATTTTAAATAGCTTTTATTGCAATGGTTTATTGTAGAAACTTTAGGGAATAAAAAGTAGTAAAATAAAAAAGAAAATAATACCACCTTTATATTCCTAGGGTAATACTTCTTTTAAGGACTTTGTAAAAACCTCTAGCTTTTTTCAAATATAATTTACATACCAAGACCTATATCTTCGGAAAAAATCCATAATGATAATTTTTTTTTGTCAGAATGTACAGGTTAAATCCTGCTCAAATAAACCTAACTTGAAATATTTTGTAAAAAAACAAAGATATCAACTAAACTTATTCTGTAGAATGAAATAGTAAAATATATTATTAGCAAATCATTCTATAAAGAATGGTTTGGTATGGTTTTAAAAATGTATTGATGACCCTTTTATAAGTATACTCCAATATCATTTGCTTGGGCTAACAGGAAAATTGCAATATATAAATATATGTTGTTACTTTGAGAGTGGTTGTTTAACAGAATTGATACTGATTCTGGTAGACTTTTCATTCTGGATCTGTGAATATAACTAACCTAAATGTCTTGTACCTAATAGCTTTTTCCACAACTTCCCACCCTCTTCTACTCAAGAGACCTTAATTTAATCAGTTTAGTCTGACATATATTATCACCTCCACATTCTATCTGCCTGGTGTTTCTTAATCATTCATAGAATGAATTGTGCGATTGTTCTGTGTGATTAAAAGGCATTCTAATAAAGTTTGTTTTTTTTTTAATTCCAGAGTGGTCTGATGTACTGGCCTTTTGTACAGGTGAGTTTTTAGAAGAAATTTTGTAAGAGTTTATTTGAGCCAAACTGACAACATTTGCCTGGGAGCAAGACCTCAAATGCTCCTTTAAACCATTCAGAATGCTAACTCCTGGGTTTGATTTACATGGAGCCCTAACATACCCTTTTTCTTTTACAGCTGACCAACTTTAGCTTTGTTCCTGTTCAGTGGAGAACAGCTTACACTGGACTCTATGGTTTTCTGTGGTGCACCTTCCTTTGCTATTCACAACAGAGCGGCGATGGCACACTGAAGTCAGCTTTCGCCTTCCTTCATCTAAAGGAGGCCAAGAAAGTTGAAAGCCCCTCAGAGAAATAAGAAATCAAGGGTTCCTTGAAAGTGATCATATTTTTCCTTAAATGCAGTAAATTGCCTGCCGATAAAATACTCTATTTACATGCAATTATGTGCTCAATTTGGAAGAATTACTGTTTCAAAGACCCACTTGTTTCTTAATGATCAATAAGTACTTTAAATTTTATCCAAATCTTTTTTTCCCCATTCTAGCCTGAAAGTATTATTTCTCTAATGTTTTCACTACTTCTGTACTTTGGTAAATACCAGTAACAGTCATAAAATGACATTTTGTAATTGTTACTATTTCTAATATTTTAATGCCATTTAATTATATTTAATGCATTTAATTATTAATGCCGTTTAAGAAACCTGTTTTGATTGTATACATCTTTTTTCTAATATCTCAGGTTATTCCTAAACACTTGGATTGATTACTTTTTATACCAAAAACAGTTCTTAAGAGTAAAATTCTGTTTACGTAGAACTCAATCAAAGATAAGTTTGAATAACCAGATTCCCCCCAACTCCAATACTATATAATTATTTTATGCTGATTACTATAGTACTGCAAGTATATTTTATATCATAAGAAAGTAGAGTATGATTGGTATAGAATATATTTGATTGATGTCTTCTATTTTTGTAATTTCTAAGTTAAGTACTTTTTTAGCTAATATTTTTTAGTTTTGAGCATATTCAGCACCCCATTTCCCAGATATATGAAATTTGACTTCTTAAAGAAATATATTGAGTGAAATTTCTGGGGGGAAAAAAAAAGAATTTTTCTGCCTCAGCCAGTGTGGCTCAGTTGGTTAGAGCATTGTCCTATAAAATGAAAGGTCACAGGTTGATTCCCCGTCAGGGCACAAACATAGGTTGCAGGTTTGGTCCCTGGTCAGGGCATGTTTGAAAGACAACTGATTGGTGTTTCTTTCTCACATCGATATTTTTCTCCCTCTCTCTCCCTCCCTTCCCTTCTCTATGACCAATAAGCATGTCCTCAAGTGAGGATTAAAAAAAAAGAATATTTTTTTCTTTTTAAAATATTTTATTTATTTATTTTAAGCAGAGAGGAAGGGAGAGAGAAAGAGAAGGAGAAAAGGATCAATGTGTGGTTGCCTCTTACATGCCCCTTACTGGGGACCTGACCTGGCCCACAACCCAGGCATGTGCCCTGACTGGGAATCGAACTGGCAACCCTTTGGTTTGCAGGCTGGCACTCAATCCACTGAGCTACCCCAGCCAGGGCAAAAAATAATATTTCTTCCTTTAGAAGGAAGAACTCTTTCATATGAGGTTTGTCCAGAAAAAGTCCAGCCATTGTTGATGTAATGAGAACAGTTTGTGTGACATTGATGTAACATGGCAGCCAAGGAAAGTGGACTGGAAGGAACATATGTGAACAATGACAACTTCACTGTACTAGTCAGTGGGGGGCGGTAGACGCCATTGAGTGATCATATGTACTGTTTGACCATTGCATTCAAAATGACTGAGCAAGTAGAACCACGAATCTGCATCAGATTTTGCATTAAGCTTGAATATTCCTCTGCGGAAACTATTTGGATAATTCAGAAGGCCACAGCTATGGACAACTGGTGATTGGCAGCTTCATCATGACAACATGCCAACTCACACATCACATCTTCTGCAGAGTTTTCTGGTAAAACATCATCTCACCCAAGTGACTCAGCCCCCCTACAGCTCATATTTGATGCCCTGTGACTTCTGGTTTTTCCCAAAACTAAAATCACTTTTGAAAGGGAAGAAATTTCAGACCATCGGTGAGATTCAGGAAAATACGACAGAGCAGCTGATGGCAACTGGGAGGACTGTATGAGGTCCCAAAGTGCCTACTCTGAAGGGAACTAAGGCGTCATTGTCCTATGTACATTGTTTCTTGTATCTTATGTCTTTAATAAATGTCTCTATTTTTCATATTACATGGCTGGATACCTTCTGGACAGACCTTGTATGTTCCTAGGGGAAATAGTTAACCCAAATTTCATGCTGATGCTATATTTTTAAAAATAATGCTTTAAATTAAATTTTTATAGGTAGCCTTTACGGTCAAGAGAAACTTAATCTAGCCTTTCAGATTTACTGTTTGTCTCACCTCAGAACAAGTGGGTTTAACAATTATATGAGTATCTCAAGAAGTTTCAACAAAGTTCATCCAAGAACTGAACCACAGTTCTGTTGCTTCCACTGGAATATTGTACGAATTTAAAGATGTGAAGCACTGCCCTGGGTGGGTAGCTCAGTTGGTTAGAGCATCATCCTGTTATGTCAAGGTTGCAGGTTCTAACCTTGGTCATGGCACATACAAGAATCGACCAATGAATGCATAAATAAGTGGAACAACGAATTGATGGTTTTCTCTCTCTCTCTCTCCCCTCCCCTCCTTCCCCTTCTCTCTCTTTAATCAATTTTTAAAAATGGGAAGCACTGAAATGTTAATAAATTTATCTTGAGAATTTATATTTAAGATTAAAAGTGTATACTTAAAAATTTTAAGCATATAACCTGTAATATAAATTTATTTAAGTCATGAGTATATTCAGTATATGATTAATTTGAATTTTATTTTACATTATTGGGACAATGGTAGGAAATTTCTAGATAGTTTAATTTTAAATTAAATAACATGGATGGACCTTGAAAATGTTATGTTAAGCAAAATTAATCAGAAAAAGCTGAGAACCAGATGATTTCACTCATATATGGGATATAAAACTGAAACTCCTAGGCACAGACAATAGTGTGGTGATTACCAGAAGGAAGCAGGTGGGGCGGGGTAGTAAAGGATTAAAGGGGCCAGATACATGGTGAGGGAATATGATTTGTGTTTGGGTGGTAGGCACACAATGCAATATACAGGTCTTGTGTCATAGAAATTTATAGTTAAAATCTATATGATCTTATTAACCAATGTCACCCTAAGAAGTGTAATTTTAAAAATCTAAAATAATTTGTTATTTGCGTTTTCTTAAAAGTAATACCACAGAAAAGCTATTTCACAATACATAAGACAAATTTTGTCATTAAAAAAGTATATGTGGAATAACTATAGTAAGTACTACCTGCAGTCTTTTAGCTGAGCTTCAGCATTACTTTTATGATGGAAGAGTTTACATTTTGTACAAAAGTAACTGGGAAAACAGACCTTGTTTATACTGTCAAGGGGAAAAAGCTTACTATTCATCAAAGAGTATGATCTTCTTTGCTCAATAATGTGTTGCTCTGTCCTATAGAAAATATTGACATATTGCATGTATTCTCTGAACTTTTGCAGATAACACAGTTTCAGTTTTTAATGCAAGCATACTTTGTATGTTTTATTGAGGAATGGAACTTATTCCAAATAATGCAAAGTTTGTCTGTTTTAAAATGCTGCCATGCTTGGTAAAACACACTCTAGATCTTCCAGGGCTTAGAAGCAGGTAGGTGGGCCCCATCCTACCTCCAAATTACCCCTTTCTGTAAGGTTTCTTTAACTTGGTTGTGTGTTGCCCTACCACATTCTTCTGGTCCTTTGCTCAGGCAAAGGCAAAACCTATAGTTCGTTTCCCTTAATGAGGTTGAGGTTGACTGGATTTTCAAAGCAACTTATCTTACTATGTGTAGAAAACAAAAAGTAAATTTGGAGGATGTCAAAAAATTTTCTTTAAAAATTCCTTACAGAAAATGGATTTCTGATCCTCTCATAGTAAGCCTGAACTTGGGCATCACAAATCCTGTCCTAGGTCCAGGCATTTAGGGTATTTATCCTGCAGCTCTAGCAGCGCCTTCCTGGCATTCTTTTCTGATGCCCTGGTTGTCACTGTATGATAATATCATTGGCCCAGAGAGCTGTCTTCTTGGCCCTGCTGCTACCATTAAAATCAAGAGAGCCCGAGTCCTGTCCTTTCGGACTGCCAGTTTCCATTTCTAGTCTCAGAGATAGGCCTCTTACACTAAGAGGTGAAAATGATTTCTCAGTGCAGGGGATCTCCTACACAAATGGATGTGACCACCACCCTTATAACAAATGTTATTAAATGGGATGTAAAGAAGATAAACATAACTGTGTTAAAAGTTTATAGTCTATGGGTTTAAAAAAAAAGTGTTAATCTGGTTCTCAAGACATCTAATCCAATTCATCACTCATTGCTTCAACAGCATCTGTAACAAGTGATCAACAGAAAGCCTGAATAAACTCAAGCAATGCCACCCAACCATGGGTTAGTGGCAGAAGCAGTAGGTACTTTGAAATCATGGTGCCCTGGGTAATCTGGGAAGGCTTCATGGAGGAGATGCCTGAGTTGGGTCTCAAAGGATGGAAAGTCACAAGACTCAAATTCTGTGAACTGGAGTGGTGATGGTAGGATCAGATAAGATTCAATTTTGAGAGAGAGAGCAATGAGAAAGAAAAGACATTTAAATTGTAACACACAGGACAATTTCTATTGCCCACTCCTTAGCTTTGAATAATGTACATGCTTCTGTCCAGTTTACTTGTAATTAAAAATGATTTGCAACTTATCAGTCTTTTCATTTGTAAATAAAAATTAATAAAAATAAAATATTAATTTCATAGAAAATTAATAAAAGCTAATTCTATTTTATCTATGTCATAGTGGGTTTGGTGAGAGAATTAGGCAATGTGAGAGTTTGCGTGTGTTTAAAATTTCTAATACCAATTTTGAGTGGCATGTGAAAAAAAATCTGTTCAGTAAGGTGGTGATTCAGTGTACAAAGTAATTGATTATTTGCCTATTATACATTCTGAGAAGTTAGACATTTAGGGGTTCCTACAAATGAAGGGGTGCTTTAGGAAAACTTTATCTTAAAGGTATGGATACTCTCTGGGCCACAATAAGAAAACTAATGAATGAAAAGGATTACAGCTACTAAAAGATAAACTGATAGTTTGTGGAGGAAAACATTTTTACATTCTAGTCCTTCATTAATAACTAATTTTGGTTTTCAGTATTTTGAAGAAAAATTTGTTTTACTTTTTCACAATAAGACCTATAGAGAAAGAGATTTAATTTTGGTATATTAGGTTATATCTAAATAGGGCTTGCAGATCAACTATGTTAATCATATTAAGTGTAGATATTTTCTTTAATTGAGGTAAATTACCCAGAACTACAATTTCTAACATCCATTATTGCTATATACTTTTTTTTTAACTTTTTTTTTTTTCAAGCATCGTCAAACTTTAGGATCCATTTGAAGCTGTCAAAA